AAAGAGAAAGAGAAAGAGAAAGAGAAAGAGAAAAATAAAGAGAAAGAGAAAAAGAAAGAGACAGAGAAAGAGAAAAAGAAAGAGACAGAGAAAGAGAAAGAGAAAGAGAAGGAGAAAGGGAAAGACTTCCGCTCCATTAGAAAGATCAAGTGACGTCAAACAGCGAGGAGAAGAACCGAATGATGCGCTATTTTTGATTCGGCTATAATCACATTAACGGTGCCCATGCCAATGAAGGGTCTTCTTCTTCGTTCATCTCTATTAAAATATGTTTTATGCGCTCGACATAATTTTCTCAGACATTTTTGAAATAGTTGGGAGGAAACTGATTGAAGTTATGATCGGTATGGTTTTTTGACTCTTTAAGGAAGCGTTTAAGAGTTTTAAATATCTTTTTATGGCATAATCTTTAAGACAGCAATCTGCTTTAGATGTTTTTTGTCATAAATCTTTTCTAAAATTATCCATGAATATGTCTTCAAAACTTCAGGGGCGAATTTGACACATTTTAGAAGCTAGAGCAGGCCAAATGCTCGGGCTTAACTTTGAAGTGCGTTTTCTCGAGTTTCCATTTTCAAGAGTTTTAGAAAACGACGTCGGTGATTGCAAAAAAAAGATATTTGTCCGATTGAAAGAAATCAAAATGATCTAGCTTCAGTCTTAAATTATTCTACAATATTTGAACTAAAAATATGGACAAAAGTGTTATTTAAACAAATTTTTTTTGCAACTTCAAGTGAATTTTCTTTTTTAGGTTATTTTTTTTATAAGTAAAATTTTTTTAAGTGAATTTTTTTTCACATTCTCCAAAAAAATCTTAAATTTTCTAACTTCTTCGGTATTTTTTTTTAATTCATATGGAAAAGACACTTGTGTTTAACAATTAAAAAAATATTGGATCAACTGTTTCTTATGCATGGCACGACCACCGTCACCGACACCGTCTCACGAGTTCAGACTTCAGCCGTTTCAGAAAACTCTTTACAACATTGGAAAACTCCAATATTTTTATAAGTAAACATTTTTTTTCTGAAGCTTAAATATAGTACATTATTGTTTGAAAATTTCTTTTACCGCAATAATTTCCTACCCTTGCAAAAAATAAAATTTCTGAAAAAACGCTTTGCGAGTGCTAAAAGTAGGACTACTTCCTTGTTGTTGTTACGCTACTATTTCTATTTTTTTCATATTTTTACTATTTTTTAAGTGTTGACAGCGTCTAATCCATGCTTTTGTCGTTCATATAATTTTTGAACGTATTTTTAAAGTGCTCTGCTAGGGCAGCTGCATTTAAGGAGTAAAGCCACTCTAGGATTTTGGAAAACGCAAAATATTTTCGCTCACAGTGTACCTTTGGGTGCTAGAAATGAAATGCAATTGATTTTGAAGTGAAAACAATGAGTACAATGAAAACTTTCAACGCATTTTTCTCAAGATCACATTTTTCAAACTGGGAGGACAGATTATTCGGACCATACATCGATTTGTCTGAAATTTTGTTGGTAGCTTCAGAATTGCATTTTTTTAGAAGTATGTAGCCGTTTTTCGATTAAATGTAAAAAATTTTTTAATAATTTAGTGCGTATTTTTTGGTATTTTTATACAAAAGTCAATCTTTTTAAAAACAAGTGTGCCGCTTACACAAAAATTAGTTAGTAAATAAATCCGTACGTCCGTCCACTGACCACAGTTTGTAGATTATAAAACTTTTTGCTCTTCTGTTCTAAGTCTCATCTTTTAGAAGATATTCCGGAATTCCGGAGTAAATTTTGTTACTTTTCTTTAACACCCGAAATTGAATTTTGTATTCTGGCGAACTCGTTACAATGTTTCAAAAAAATTTGGCAGCACTGCTTTTTTCGTCCATTGCAAATTACATTCGCCTGTTGATAAAGTAAAAAGAAAAATATTCACATCAAAATGGAAGATGGTGCACAAAAAAATTAAAAAGTTTTATTAATTTGTTTATTAAATCATAAATATTTGAACATAATTATGGACAATATGCCTCGACAAAAAAAAAAAGCTGAATGAAAACGTTATCTTACAAATCAAAGGGCTATTTTTTAGTCTCGAAAACTTCGCAAAATACGGTTTTATGCACTTTTTTCTTCATCTTCAATGAATTCCAGGTATATTTTAGCCTACCCATTTTGGTTTTTTATTTTTTCTCAAACTTACAACACAAAATCAAACAGCAGATATTTTTGTTACCTCCTATTTCACTGGTAACAAAATTTACAGGGTAACAGTGAGCTCAGAATACGACATGGTAAAAAAAATTAACTTAATGGTAAATTATAAAACCTAGGTAAATTTTGTTACCTCGACAGAATAGGCCTGTTAATATTTAAATATATCTTACTTCTTAAGTAAAAAGACAATAGTTTTTTTTTTGGATAAAAATTAAAATATCAAAACTACAAGAACTACTGTATATAATGGGAAAAAAAATTATTTATTTTCAGACTCGAGTGAGCTAGAGGTAGGCACCGATGATGTATACCTTTCAAAATTTCTAAGCTACTGCGGTTGGCAAGTCAAAGAGGCTTTTGAAGCCATTAATCGATATTACGACTTCAAACACCACAATCCAACCTGGGTAGCACAGCATCCAGTAGTTTATTTTAAGGACATGATATATCATACTCTTTGCAAATATATAATGCCTAAACCAGACAAGGATGGACGTATCATATTTGTATCTAAAACTGGTACCTCTTCAAATAGCTAAAAAAAAACTATTGAGTCTTATATGATAAATTCATTTTATATTTTCAGTTGATGCATTTAAAATATTTCCCAATTATATAAACGACATTATAGAATTGGATGATTTGATTTTCGAATCGATTTTACTTCTGCCTCAGGTACAGAAATATGGCCTCACAGTTATAAGCGATTTGAGTGGGTATGTATTATGAAGCATTAATCTTATCACCCGTTCATACAAGCAGGATTCGAGAAAGACTAGAGCTTTCGATCTGTTATCATGGTTTAATACAATGAACAACTGTATGTTTGTATTTTAAATTTCCAGCGCCAACAAACGCTTTCTGCGCTTCGCCTCTCCTGCTATGGCCAAAATTGTGAATGCCAAAAACGAAGTATTGCCATTTACATCGCGCATTGTACATGTCATCCAAAAGGGTATGTTTTTGAACGCCACAACCAATCTGATGATGTCCTTTGCTAGTAAAGAGTTTAAGGAAAGGGTGAGTATATAACAAAATGTACTAAGTACAATGAGTTTTATTGAAAAATTTTATTATTATGATCAGATTCATATCCATGATGGAAAGAATTTTGAAAAATTACGGAATATGGTAGGATATGGGAATTTACCAGCCGAGGTACGTAGAATATATTGACAGAAAAATCATTAAAATAACCTAATTACTTTTTTTTTGTTTTTGGTAGTACGGTGGTCCTAAGGAGAATGAATTGGATGTCAATATTTTATATGAGCACTTATTGCGCCACAGCAGCTATCTTTCGCAACTTCAAAGCTACCGGAAAAAATTTGTTTCGTAAATTTGGATTCTGTATAGTAAGATGTTGGCAAAAAGAATGAAAACCTATGTTTAATAATTTTAAATCAAATGTTTGTGTTCTAGTAAAAAATGTGTGATTTTTTTTTTTTGTATAATTGTTTATGGAATCTTTTTTTTTTTTTTTGGAAACTAACAGTAATTTCGAAAATCATAAAGCTAATTCTTATTCCTGGAACAAGTTCATCATTACCACTGTGTAGATTAATAAAGTACAATAAATTACGATATAACTAATTAGATTTATCAAAAAATGTTTTTTTATATCAGAAGTACAACTTCGCTTCCGCCGTTTTTTTCCAAAATTAAAAGCTTTATTGCGAAAAAGTGCTTACAGATATACTATTTAAAGTATTGTCCTTCGCCAGCGACAACTTTCTCCCATCTTTCCGGCAATTTTCGGATCCAGGCTCGAAAAAAGGAGTCCTCTTTTGACACTATCCATGAAGCAATCCATTTTTCCAATTCTTCGAAGGATTGAAAATGTTGACCTGCCAGGCCGTGTGCCATCGAATAGGTGGAAGTCAGAAGGGGCGACATCTTGGGAATAGGGCGGGTGGGGCAATACTTCCCATTTCAGCGTTTTCAGGTATATTTTGACCAATTTTGCGACGTGAGGCCGAGCATTGTCGTGTTGGGGGATGACTTTGTCATGTCGCTCTTGATATTGTGGCCGCTTTTCTTTTAGCGCGCGACTAAGACGCATCAGTTGCGTTCGGTAGCGATCTCCTGTGGTGGTTTCACCCGGTTTTAAGAGCTCGTAGTAAATCACACCGAGCTGATCCCACCAAATTTCTCTTCCACCACCATGTTTGTCTTCGGCATCGAAATCACCATTTTTAAAACGTTGAAACCACTCCCGACATGTTCTTTCACTCAGAGCAGCATCACCGTAAGTTTCTGAGAGCATTCGATGTGCTTCAGCTGCATTTTTTTTTTTTCGAATTGTAACAGAAAAGTAAAACTTCCCGCAAATGGCGAGAATTAGGCACATAAACGGAAATTTTCGAGCGTGAATAATACGAAAACAAGAACAACTGTCAATGAAACGGCGATGACACTTCGGCACTGTCCACACTCACTTTAAAGGCATTATCATCTATGTATTTCAACCAGCCTCAGCCGGTACAGCCACCTTTCGGAAAACAGCAGAAGCAAAGTTGTTAACCGATAGATATCATCAGATTTAAAGTAAATTATAATATCATGAAGGATATATGCAACTCCGATGTAGAATAATTGGATGCGGCAGAGCCCTTAGTCACAGTTCAAACGTAAATAACCTTAATGAGTTAGATAACTTTAATGAGTAAGTTTTAAGTAGTTTCTCTATTTCCTCGGTGATGGTTTTAATCCTGAGATCGTTGTGAATTGTGGAGTTTTTTACTTACCAAGTGGCTTTGCATATTGATCTTAAGGTTTTATACTGCAGTCTTTGAATTCTATCTAGGCTAGATTTAGATGCTGAGCCCCAAATTTGGATCCCGTATGTCCAAGATGGCTTTATAAGCATATCAGAAAGTAAAGCTTTGTTTTCTAGACTAAGTTTGGACTTAGTGCCTACAATCCAATGCTAGTTCGCAATTTTCATTTTGGTTTGAGTAATATTTTTGTCCATGTGGTTTTTCCAGGTGAGGATTTTATCCATTGTAACTCCCAGGTAGGTAACGAGTTCTTTCTTAGCTATTGTGTTCCCATTTATAGAGATTGAGGGACATATGACTTTTTTATGGTAAATGTTACTTCTACTTGTATACTCTTAGACTCATTGCCATTGATCCAGTAAAAGATAAAATTAAAAACGATAATTAAATCGAGCGATCTTTACACGACTATGGTGTAGTAAAAGGCTTTATTTACCGTAGTTAGAATTACTCAATTCATGTCAAATATACACTTTGTGTCATTTTGAAGGTAAGATCATTTTGCCTTTCTCATAGAAACCCTTGTCTCTATTGGCACAAAAATAGAGGCAATCGATTTTCTCAGGCTTCTCTTGAGGCCAACTCTTCACCCCACAAATCATTCACCATGGACAGGAACAGATGGTAATCACTTGGTTTAAGGTAGGGACTTTCATATGGATGCATAAGAACTACCCAACTACGAGTCACTATCGTTGTGTATGGCCTGCGTTTTCGTGTTGAAATGCAAATGTAAAAATTGTATGATTGCTAGCTGCAGGTGGACGAATTAAGAGTTTGACCGTAGGAGAGTAACTTATAGTGGATGATTCCTTCACAATCTCACCAAATGCACAACCAATCTCACCTGTCCGTGAATCCTAGCTTGGAAACCATAAGTTTTACAATGAAGAATTCGTAAGGTCTTTGAGCAATATAAGATGAATTCAGGTACAAAGGGACAATGTACAGAAAGAAGTTCACGCAAGTGAGTAAGCTTTTTGACAGCCATTCTCTTGGGAGTCGCCAGAAACTCTTCATTTGGAGGGAATTACCTACGGATCAACGTTTGGCCTGGGACCCACTACATAAAAAGTAAAGCCTGCCTGGGATGAGAAATCCCCTTTTGACGACGACCCCTATAAACGTTTTTCCTTAATTAGAAGATCCCCCTAACCAGCTGGTTGTTGTCCTCAAAAAATTAAAAGTTGACATCACTACCGTCCGCTAAGTGGGATGAACGAGATATAAAGGAACGCATTCACTCCGGTGATGAACGTATCGCCACAATCCGTTTCAAAACGGAGCTTTTGTACTCATAGCTAATTTGCGCTCACTTACCGACGGCAGGTGGGGACGCACCTACGTGCGCTACTCTGTCACGATGTCAAAATTGTACTCCTCGGTATTAAAGCAATATAGGCAAAGAAATTATTTTTGGCAGCGAAGATAATGCACTTTGCCGAGGTCCAATATTTAGTTGTCTTTAGTACTAGATCCGAACTAAAGACAATTTATCATGCAACCTGACTGTCTCCATGATGTTATGATACACTACGACGACCCAACATCTTGCAGCAGCAAGGAAACGCACCCAACGTCCATCTACATCTACAAACACAAGGAACGTTCGACGTCGCTAGCTGCAATCATACCAGAAAGACGACCGTTTTTCTAGTCGACTTGCACTCTAAGAGCATTAATCAGCAATTCAGTATAAGGGAACCGTAGGACGGCATGCTCGAAAATTCTGCGAAATAACTTACCAACTTACTGAGAGTTTGAAAAACGAAGCACACTCAAGTAGGAATCAAAGAGGTTATGTGGTGGCCGTTAACCAAAACATCTTTAGTGTATGGAGGTTATGTGTTTTTGGTAGAGTATAGCTAGACGAATTTTGAAAAAAACGTCCATTGCAACCAGTATATTATTGTAGACTTACTTGGCCAGTGCTTCTTGTTGATGGTATCGAGGTGCCATTCTTTCTTTCCCGATGTAGAATTCATAAACAGGTATTCTACAAAACTTCTTACTATATTAACTGATTTTGCATTTATTTATTGTAGTTGGTGAGTGGAAATCAACTTCACTGGTGTGATCGTTATTTACCAAGTTGATTTTAATGATCCCTGAGCTGCCGCGATAGGCGAGAAACTGTCATTCTGACGGCCAGGTTATACAATATAAATTTCTCTAATTGCGGTCGTCCCTCAGCAGGGAATGTTAAGCCCCCCGAATGTATTTCTGACATGAAATGAAAGGTGGGATTTTTCGTTTTGCCAGCTCACTTTTGGGTCCCGTCTTCAATTTGGACTAGTTCCCATTGGGTTTTGTACGTGCTAAGCCACCTGATGTGATTTAACACTTGCGTCTTCTTATTATAATAACATTCGCTGCGCTACAGAATTGAGGGCACATAAAACTGTTTGCTTCTTTTAACCACGCCTCAACTATTTCCTATGTGTACTTATTTATATAAATACATATGTCGAACATACATTTCTAAGCACAACTCTAAGATAAAATGCGACGAAACCCCTAAGTAACTCATCTTTAAGAGTCGCGTCAACAAAAGTTTACATGTGTAAACTCAGTCGAATACATATTATGTACTTAGTCAAGTCATCCACTATCTTCTTTTCGTTGGTGCATAGATGTCTCCCGACGAATTCAATTCAGCAATTCAGCACGATGAATACTTGTTTTCGACGCCATTTTTGTTTTCACAAATTTGACGGCGAAAATAAAGAAGCAACGAAATTCAACGGCCGAGCGTAAAGAAACACATCGTCGCTATTCCGTTGATTATTTCTCCTATTTTTTCATTACATTTTAGCTTGCAATTTTAACTGAAATTAAAGATATCTCGGTGAATTGTTCTAGTGGCGACGTATATACCAGAACTTTGTGTGTTTTGGCACGTTTGACGTGCATCTAATAACAAAGTAAATTGTGGAGTATTACGTGTGAATTGCTATTTATTAGTGTAGTATAGAATAATTGGAGAAACGGCGGCAAAATAACTTTCCAATTTAGAATCGATAATATTGTTGAAATGTCGAAAGCCAAAAAATTATCATTGCCCAGCAATGATTCAACAGAATTTTACAATTATAAACCTAAAGATTTAATTTGGTGAGTAAGAATCCACAGTGTACCATCTAAAAGAAAATTGTTAAATTTCTAACTTCAGTAAAATATCATTAGACAAAATAAGAGAAGAAAATGGCGCACATAACCTAAAATTGTTATTGAAAATTGGGCAAACAACATGAAAATAAATACTCGTGGCTAGTAGTAGCCTACTTGTTCGACAAATATGTTTAATTATGTGAAAAGATACTAACAGTAAACGGTGTACATTAAATAAAAATGAATATCATATTCCATATCGCTGCTAATTGCAGCGCTTTCCCCAATAAATGTATGTAATGTTTTTTTTTTCTTTTTTTTTTTTGTAGAAGAAAGCTATGCTATCAGTGCGTTGTAGTTACCCGCGCATTTTCCCATATCGAAATATTATAATATAAGAACATAATATCTTAAAATATTGTTACTCTATAATATTTAATTATAATTTTAGGGCAAAGATGAAAGGATTCACACCATGGCCTGCTATGGTAAGTAGCCGTAACAAAAAAAAAAACTTTAATTTTTATTTGACTGTACTTTTGCTTTGCCACAGCATATGTACGTATATACATATAATAAGTACTGTGTGCTTGAGAACCTACTCAGTAAAGGCCCGCTTTAAAGACTACAGTATAGCGAACTGGGTTTTGGAATTTATTTATTTTCATATATTTTGAAATTTTGTGATTAAAATTCATTGTTTTTGATTCATACCAATTTTCATAGATTGTTGAGCCATCAATAGATTTATTGAATCAGCCTCGCAAAGCCAACACTAAAAGTGTGTTTTTCTTTGGGACAAGGAACTTGTAAGTTTATAATAATAGTATATAAATGAATTTAAACCGATTTTATGATTTTTTATTTGATAAAATAGTGCTTGGATTGAAACGAATAATATAAAGCCGTTCGAGGGACCGTGGAAAGCTGAATTGGCAAAAGTCAATAAACCAAATTCGTTCCGTCAAGCTATGGCTGATATTAATACCTACATTGAAGATCCCACAGAGGTTGATGCAGAGGTCAGCAAAAATACGATCAGTAACCATTCCACTGAAGCAGATTTTGATAAAATTCGCGACGGTTTAACGGATGATGATACAACAAATGACATACGTGGTAACGATGATGCAGATAATGGAGTAGAAACCATAACTGGTGATGTTACGGTTGATTTGGACGAAGTTGCACCTTCATACAAAACACCTGTCAAACGCACACCTAAAGCTAAAGCGAGCGCGGTGGCTACAGTAAAAGCAAAATCATCAGCCAGTTCGGCTGTCACTAAAGCTTCGGCAAAACGACGCCGCTCTTCCCAAACGGCAAACAGCAGTGCAAAACGTAAACGCAACTCTTCAGTAGGTTATTTGGAAGATCTCAATGATTATATAAATCATAAGTCTTCTTCAACACCACCTTCACGTCGTAAAATTAATGCGGACGCCTTGGCCCATATTGGAAGCACTTCGAGACGCAATGTTAATTCGATTGCTCTTCTCGATCGTCCAGTTGTTTCGCGACCTGAAGCGCAAACAATTGATATGAATGCACGTTCTCAAACCCTGGCTGAGCGAGACATTACACCGTCTCAATTGACGTTCGGTTTCCTCGGTCTAGGAATTATGGGCTCGACTATTGTTAAAGATCTACTTTGTACTGGCCACAAAGTTGTCGTATGGAATCGCACAATGTCAAAGGTGAGTGTAAAGTTCACTGTTAAGTTGGACGTTTGAAAACATTTTAAAAAATATTTCGGGAATAGCTCATAAAATTTCAAAACTCTTCAAAGTATGAGAAAATTCGCTAGACTTATGTTTTTAGTGAAAACTTGTGAAAATTTTGACAGTGGTTTTATTTAACAATATTGAAATATATGCAGTTGACGAAGCTTTTCTGTGAACGTGGTTTGAAATAGGCGGTAATAATAATAATAATGCTGGAAGTGACACAATTTAAGTATTAATATAAAATCTCGTTGAAAATTGTCCAACTGATGCCTATAAAAGAATGTGTGTAGGAAAGACATTTGTCAACTAAAAGGGCATTAAAATTGTTTAAAGAAAAATAGTCATCTCTTTGCTCCCTGCGTATCAAGGTAATACCTCAGATCCTGCATCTTATTGGAATATTTAAACCTTCTATAGAACTTGCCACTTCAGACTAAAATTTTCTCAATTGAAACTTTCTATATGAAAACCGTTTGGTAAATGCCTTATCAGTAAACGCCTTAGCGAGATCAAACATATTCAAATTCGATTAGAAGTTGAAAATATTCTTATTCAGGCGCTGGAAATACATATTAGTAGTACATAACTTTTCCAATTAACTAGACTAATAAATTTCATATATAATATATGCATAGTGCATGCTAGGAGAACTACAAAAAATGTATGTTCTTGTTGTTGTTGTTATAGATGTAGGTGTATTTTTTGGGAATGTTGCGGGAGTAACAGTCCTTGGCCGAAATATCCGAGTCGTATAAAGACCCAACTGTCGCGTGAACTATTGGATTTTAGTCGTCTCTTACAACAGGCATGCCTCAACACGGGTAAATTCTTAAACCCCTAACCCGCAGTCAAGCCAATAAAATTACTTGTTCTATTGTAAGCACTATAGGAAGAACACCAAGAACATTCCAATAAGAGTTTTTAAAGTATCAAAAGCCATGATGAGAGCAGAGATCCAGGATAAATAACCTTACCAGTATTCTAATTCGTTTTTTTTTTTTTTTAATATTTTGACAAAAATTGTATAAAACTAGCGGCTGACAAATAAATTAGAAAACGAGTAATAATATTTAGCTATTGATGTATTTTATTTATTTATATAATTTATTTATTAAATATTACTTTACAGATAGGTTAACTAAAATAAAAATAATATATAATGAACTGAATATGATAAAAAAAAATTTAACGTTTATTAAATGGTCAGTCTAAGTTGAAATTTGACCTTTAAAATGTATCTGATTCTTGAAATTGCTTTTGTTTAATTTCCTCCTTAAATTAGCATGAAGAGAGTTCAATAAACGGCTAGCATTACAAGAAAATAAAGGAATTTTTTTTATTAAATAGTTTCCGATTTATTGAAGAAATTTCAGTTGCCATTAAAAGTAGACTTTCAAATTTACGATTATTATTTGCAAAATCTTATTTTCCGACTAGTAAATAATAAAATTTGTATAACATCCAAGTAAGAATAATTTAAAATAAATTGACTAAAATTTGAAGAAAATATATTTAAATAATATATAAATTAGTGCACAAAATAAGCAGCACAGGTGTTTGGGACACTTTTCCCATTTAGAATCATAATTTATGAAATTCACACAGTTGAGTATTTGGAAATAAGAATAAATAAAAAAGCAGTCTAAATTTGAATATATACCTTTGAAAGTTTTCTTCTTGTTGATAAACCTTTTTTTTTTTTAGAAATGTATAAACATACATTTTTTTATAATAAATTTCTTTGACCCTTCCTTATTTTGCAAGCTTTCTAGAATAATTTCACTTTGTTAAAAAATAAAATATTTCAGTGCACACCATTCGCTGAAGCTGGAGCAGATGTTAAAGGCACACCAATGGATGTGGTTGAAGCTTCAGATGTTATATTCTGTTGCGTTTCGGATCCAAAAGCTTCGAAGGATGTAAGTATTTTATACTACTTTTCTATTTTCTTTATTTATTTTTAGTATTGTTATTAGGATTGTTAGTCATGATAAGTTTTATTAAAGAAATCGCTTCATAAATTAATTAATCTGCGTTCAAAATTTTTGGATTATTAATTATAAATAATTCCTCACATTTAATCGCTCAAAAAGTAATAACTTAAATTATCTTTAACTTTTTAGTTAGTAGATAAAATTTTGACTTCTTGAATTTTATATTTTATTTAAAAGTACTGATTATTTCTGAGCTTAAAAGTTTTCTTATCAAAAATAATCATATTCGGTATATATGTATATGTACTTATGTAATTTTTGGTCGAAAATAACGATTTGCTTTTGAGCTTAATTTTTTTTTCATTAAAAATATTCGTTGCATATTGTGTGATTACTTTTTGAGTTTATTTTTCTAATAATAAAAAAGTTAAATTGATTTTTGAGCAGAATTTTTCCTTTCAAAAATGAAAATTAATTTTATGTTTTTGATCTTAATGAATCGTTCGAATGTCAAAGCGTCATTCTAATAAATGGTAAAATTCTTTTGTTCGACAGAAACCAATAAGTGGTCTTTAAAATAACATTAATTTATATTATATATGTTTGTACATTTGCTTGAATATTTCCAAAGGAAAGTTCACCGAATTCGAAAATTAATTTGCACAATAACTTCTTTGTTCAAGAAACTATGGGCATGAGATTTTATATTTTCTTTACGGATTATTAACAAATACTTGACAACAAAAGTCATGAAGAACGAACCGATGCCTTTTTTATAGGTACAAAGAAAAATTTTGTCATCACATGTTTCATTATTTCTGCTTATCTGTTATAAGCAAAATGTTAATCGCTAAAGTCCTCATTATTTTATGATTTTAATTAAAGCTTCTTATTGTATTTATGCCATTGGAAGATCATATTGATCGTTTAAGTACAAAGAAAGCTCTATGTTTGGTTATACAAGATACGCATAGGTAAAAATATTACAAATCAAAGTCGAACTTCTTACACATAAATATATATTTTGCTGGTAGGAAGTGAGTTATTAATTTCCCGCTTCTTGAACGCCGAAATGTAATTATTAACTCTCTCTGAGCTTTTCTTTACTTTGTTTTGTCATATTGCCGTAGCCTAGGTTATGCCACAAGCTATCGCAATTCTGAATTATGTGCTATGTGTGCATGATACAATAATTTAAAGATAATTTCATTCTCTCTGCGCGGTCAGCTTCATAGCTATCTGTTTCAGTTTTTTCGTGCTACCTTCTCCTCTTTTTATAAATTCTACCATTTTTAAATAAAAATTATGTGGAGAATTTTCATATTTTTTTAAATGTTAAACCATTCGAAAATCACTTATATTGTATTTTTCAACCCCTGATAGTGGACTTGGTCGAATGTTGGCCTTTTAGATTTTTGTATTAAAATTTAAGTAAACTGTAAGAAAGCATCAGAAAAGGATTAATGTTGTTACCTGTTGACTTAAACGGGGCTAGGTCGCCGAAATGGTTACAGCCCTTGGCCGGATAAAATCCGGGTCAACTCCGTGCGTAGAGCCGGCAGTCTTGAGAGTTGTGAAGAGTCTCCGCACGGCACTAAGCACCTCTTCACATGTCCCCTTAAACCGAAAAATCTACACCCTCTCTTCCCCGCATAATATATTGGTAGTGATACTAATGTTGGTTCTATAAAGTTCTCTCACATTTCCAGATGCTGTTGTTGTTGTAACCGCAAAATAATCCCGAATTGGTTTTTGGGAAATATTGCGTCAGTGACAGTTTTTGGCCGCATCGTTCCGGTATAAAGACCCGACTGTCGCGGGAACTATTGGATTTACCACGAGTGGAATCTTGATTCCCTAACCCGGAGGTGCATTTTGCGAAGTTCAGGAGATTAGTGATGTCTAATCTATCGAAGGAGAAATTCCCTAAAAATCGATAATAGACCGCAGAGTTTACCAGGGTTATGACTATCAATATCGCTTGGCGGCCGCGGTTGCCGGGTGGTTAACATTACGCACTGCCATTTTGAAGGCTCGGGTTCAAATCCTGGTGTCGTACTAGCATCCAAAAATGTATAGAAATTTAATTTTTATAAAAAATTAAGTTAGTTAGTTTTTCTAATTGTGACCCTCGCCGCTCGGCAAGGTATGTCAACTCCTCCGAGTGTTTTTTTTTTATGTGAAATAAAGCACCTCATAAAAAAACCATCAACTGATCCGCGGCCGCTTACTATAAAGCGCCATATATATGACCAGGGACCCAAACCATGGACGTTTCGCATATAGTTGAACCTATAAGCCTAAGTTTCGAAAAGATATATAAAAAGTCAACTTTTTCCATTTTATTTATCTATTAGTAAATCCTTTTTTTTTTTATTTCTTCCGTCTAACAAAAACGACTTGAAACAAATATTTTAATAGATACATAGGTTCGTTCATTCAATATTATAGTATCTGCTTAGGAGATAATCCCAAAAATAATTGAAAACTCTCCAAGTTGAATATGCTGTAAGTGGCAAGATCAAACATTTGTGAGCAAACACAACAATTTCGAAGTGAAACTACCTTATAGAATTTTTGTACCATGGTAGAGTTTATAATTTCACTGAAGAATCTCATGCACTCTTCCTGTTGACAATGATATTTTCATGATCGGTAAAGTATATATGAAATTTCATAAATAGAGAAATCATAATGAAAATTTTAATCCCAAGTTAGGTGAACTGTATTCAAATTTGATGTTAATTAAAGATTATTCATAAGTTTGTTTTTGGAATTTAAAAGTCGAAGGAATATTTTTGATAAAAAAAAAACTCAGATGCAAATTATTATTTTTTGTTAAAAACAAAAACTTCATATCAATATTATGGTTACTTTTGATAAGAAAAAAGCTCAAATTACTTTTGAGCGAATATCTAAAAATCGCAAAGTAAAAATTACATACGATTTTCTGTATGATAAATGAAACATTAAATGTATTATTAATTTAGGTTTTTTATAAAAATAACATTTAGTAATATGCTAATACATATACATATATAGCCCAATTCTAAATATTCTTCCGGAAATTTTACCTTGCAAATTTAGAAATCCCCTAAGAAAAAATCCGCCAACTCTAAATGCACAGGGATTTTTTCTCTTTCGAAATCAACTGCTAGTATTATTGTGAATTATTGGCATTTGATAATTTGGTGAATTAAACAATTGTTTTTGAAAACAAAAATTAAATTAGAATTATGGATACTGAGGTACTATATCTATTGGCCGCTGAACCAAATATGGAAGAATGGCAACGAATTCTTCAACGTAGATAAATTCTAGACCAATGCAAATATCCACATCGTTTGGCATGGTCTACTGCTCCTGTAATCCAAACTTCCTCGCAGGCAACCATTCCACCGACTCTTTCATCCCTTCGGGAGTGAAGAATCTACGCTCTGCATTAGGGCCAACTTCTGTCGTGTTTTCTGGCCTTCAAGTTGTGAGCCGCAGGCTATATCCGGTTGAGTTCCCATCAGCTTTACTAGCAACTGCAACTGCATTTTAATTAATAGCAGTTTTCCATCTAATGAAACAATTAATACGATTATTTGTGTGATATAATATTTATTAAATACTTAAATTTTTTTTTGTAAAAATTTCCACACAACCTCTATGTGAAAAAACCCTCTCGGAATATTTAAATTTTAAATATTTAAATATTTTTTTTTGCCAATTTTTTCACTGGAAATTTTTAACCATTTTCGAAGTTTGTTTTAGAATACAAAGAAAGGGAAAAGAGAAAAAATTCGCCAAATTTTTTATTTATAAATGGAGAAGAGGGAAAACAGAAATTTCCCGCGTAATTTTCATTTAGAATCCGACTGATAGAAAACTCCCATGTATGTCTTTGTCTTTTTTTTTTATTGAAAAATTAAAAATAATTATTATTTAACAAGATTACTAAAATTGCAATGACTTGGCAGAGTTTTTATTTTAATTTTTTTGCTTCAAATTATTTCAGCTGGTTTTCGGCAATTGTGGAGTATTGGGTGTAAAAGAAATGAACGGTAAGGCATATGTTGAAATGTCAACAATCGATCCTGAAACTTCCCAGGATATCGCCGAAGGGATTCAATCAGCAGGCGGGCGTTATTTGGAAGTGCAAGTAAGTCTTAAAATTAATAATATTTTTTTTATTTTGTGACTAAAATCGTGTTACTAAGCAAAAGTTTTTTATTTTCATTGGAAATTTAAGATTCACGGTACACGGCAAGAAGCAGAAGACGGCATGCTCATTATATTAGCCGGTGGCGATCGCTCAGTCTTTGAAGACTGTCATTCTTGCTTCAAAACTATTGCAAAGAACACATTCTTCTTGGGCGGTAAGTTGCATAGATTTGATGTATTTTTTTGGTCGGTCAAAGGTACCATATGAACTACATCAAATTATTGTTAAATATAATTTGTTGCAATTGTTTTAATTTGATAATATTTTCTCTAACTCTGTGTTTCCGTAAATGCATTCACACAATTTTAGCAGAAGTTGGGAACGCTTGCAAAGTTAATTTAATACTACAAACGATAGTCGGTGTCAGTTTGGTTGGACTAGCCGAAGCTTTGGCATTGGGTATGTGTTATTTTACAGTTAATATATATATTTAAATTACAAATATTATTGTTACCTTTTCATTTGCAGCTGACCGTTTTTCAATTTCATTAAAGGACATTATTGATATATTTGAGTTGACATCTATGAAATCGCAATTATTACTAGCAAAAGGAAAAGGTAGGTCAACGCTTAGTATACAAATATGTATGCATATATATTAGTCGAATTTCATACAAAATTAATTTAATCGATATATATTTCTATAGAAATGGCCAAAGGAGATTTTAACCCACAGCAGCCATTGAGTCATATGCAAAAGGATTTGCGTCTTGTACTAAGTATGGCGGAGAATTTGGACCAATCGATGCCTGTGACTGCAATTACCAATGAGGTATTCAAGCACACAAAACGGCTTGGTTACAGTGAACACGATTCAAGTGCCGTATTCGTACGATCCAGATTTTAACATTTAGTTAATACAGCCACTTTTTAAAAATAAAAAATATCAAAAAAAAAAATGTGCGAAGATTAACATATATACCCACATACGCCCACATAAATAATAAGACGCGATAAAGAAATAAGAAAGGAAGCATGAAACCGTCGAAATGCATTAATGCAAAGCAAAAGTCACTTATATTTTTGAACCGTAATAGACCATTTGATAGGACAAAGAAATGAAAAGACTGGCTGTGCATATGTGCATTCTCGATTCAGTCGTACATTATCAAGGACCCTCTGTGCAAAGGTAAAACACAGATGTTTTTCAAAAAATATAAAATCAATTTTTATATTTTATGCGCCAGATGTAAAAATCAATATATATATATATAAGTATTATATATATATATCAAATTCAATGGTGTTAGCATGCAACGTAGATGATAAACATCATAACGCGAGTATACTGACTGACGACTGATAACAACAGTGCATTGAGATGAATTAAATACAATACAAAAAGGAATAAGTGGGTGCGCTGTATGAAAGAAATGCACGTGTTTAACATAAATACATAAGGTTTAAGCTGAAAATAATGAATAACAATGGAAAATGTATAGAGTGCGCAGTAAGCTGCTAAATATAGTAACGAATGTGTAGATGTGCGCATACAAAAATAAAAAATGTAATAATATAATATCGCATGGCGCATTTTGCAAGTCACTTATATATTTGTTTTTATATATATAAATAAATAAAATGAACAAACAACTTGATAAACAAATTATTTAGATAACGATTAAATATCAAACAGATTTTGGAAAAGGATTGATTAAATTTTCAGCATCAACTTTAAATTTCCAATGTAAATGGTAATAAAATTATTCAATAAATAAATATTATTTACCAACTTTCTATTTTCGGCAAAGGCATTCAATAGTCTGAAAGATTGTTTTTGTTGCTGTTATTGTTGGAGCGGTTCTCTAACTCCTTTTAGGCACAAGCTACTTAGTCTAAATTATCGAGGTCTACGAAACGAGCTTTTTGGACGGGTTCGAGGAGGCTAATGTCGTGCGGGGATTCATTGCATGCAGGAGATACGTTGAGTATGTCGGGCTTAAGTCTGAATAGATAGGAGTTTACTCTATTACAATATCCATATCTAAGTTGTGCCAGTATTACGCTGGGCACTAGGGGCAGATCGGTCTGTTCGTCTACAATAGGTGGTGATTAGACTTTGGGAACGCCTTTCAGCAAGGTGTTGACGGACTCTCAATTGCGCTTAATGCCTGTCGATAAGCCGTGTTGTTTTTTATAAAATATAAAAAATGTTATATAAAATATTCCCCGGAGTCATAGTTTGTAGGTGGTTTCAAAGAGAGACTTCTTTATCTGATTCTGATTAATCCCCAGGGCTTTGATCTGAGCTACAATAACTTCTGGCTGAATATAGTTTGAATTTTTATGAAATCGAGCTCGAGCCGGTACTGATAGTGGTAGGATTTCTTCTGAGATATTATCGAAGCACCCCAACAGAAACTTGGTTGGTTGGTTGAAGTGGCTGACGGCATCGACACACCTAGGCCCCAAAAGGGACCGTTGTGATACCACTGCGGTTCCCAGAAGACCCCACCAGGTTCCCAAGACCCCATCGAACCAGTGCGTGGAGTTTGCGAAACTGAGCAGTTGTTGCATCTTAACCCCCGCTATTTCGCTCAAGTCTCCAAGGGTTGCCACCCTTAGAGACTTCAGCCTACTAGTCCAAAGTGCGGGACATTCGCAAAGAAAGTGCCTTAAAGTTTCCGGTGTTTCTTCCTGTCTGCAACTTATGCAGAAATCATTAATTGGCACGCCCAATCTTTCAGCGTGCCTCCCTTATAAGATATGTCATGTAGGAAGACCTATAACTGTAGACATATCCTTCCTGTTCAGCTCGAGAAGGTGCGTGACTTTCTACTGTTCCATTCTGGTCATTTTGTCCTGGCCACAGGGCTTGTAATGCGACCTAGTTTTGATCCATCCGTGAAAAAATGAACCGATTCGCCGCTTGCTGGTGTTATTCCGTTCCAAGGGTTTCTATCCGAGATAACTACCTTGAATTCTGTCATGAATGCAGTGAATGATATGCAGTAATCTGTTTTTTCCGGTATATGAAATCTTAATATGCTGGTGAGCCTGTGGTTAATAGTTGTCCATTCAGAAAACTTTTGCAGTTAACTGCGACGAAAGCAGCGTAGTGCAGCCCCATCATGTCCACGGGAAGTAGATCCAAGAGAACATTCAATGCCTCAGTTGGTATAGTACGAAGTGCTCTACTGATGCACAGGAGCGCTGCTCTTTGTACTCTATCGAATTTGGAAATAGTCGACTTTTCCTCAAGTGCCAGCACTGGCAGGTTACAACCCCATAGAGAAGTATAGGCCTAACAACTTTGATGTTAAGCCAATGCACTATTTTGGGTGGCATGCCCTGTTTCCGGCCTATCGCTCCCTTTCTCCAAGGGTAGAAGGCAACAGATCGATCTTTGATCGAGATAGATTTCTCAATTGGGGAATCTCAATCAATCGTTCCGCTACTTCAATTAGAAATGATGTCCCACATTTGGGAATAAAGACAACTTTCGATTCCCTCCATAGTTTGGGTCTGAAATTTAGACCGAAGACTCCTTTCAATATAGCATACAGCTAGTTGACGTTGATATCCAAGGACTGCTGTTACTGAATAGGTGCAATTCCGTCAGGTCCTGGGCTTTTATAGGGTTTAAACGTACTAATCGCCCACTTGATCTTGCTCTCTGTTAAGAGATCTTTTAATATGGGCAATGGTTCACTCCATGTTAGTTCCGATGTCCTGATTGTGGATGCATCAGGAAAGTGAGCATTTATGAGAAGGTCGAGGGTTTCCTCCGCAGGCACTGTATATGTTCCGTCGGGCCTCTGCAAACATCCCGGCACTCAACGAGGGGTGCGAGAGAGTACTTTGCTGAGCCTACTCCCTTTTAACGCCGTCTCCACATTGCAGCAAAAGCTTATTTTTGCCTTTCTAAGGGCTTTCTTATAGTCCTTTATATTTTGCCGATATTTCTCCTATATCTTGTCATCAGAGGATGCAGAAGCCTTGTTAGAAGATTTTCTGTAAATCTTCCTTAAATTCCGCCACCATGGTGGTTTCATTTTGCCTCTCGGAAGTTTTACTGGGCAGGCTATATCTTAAGCTGTGGAACTAGTGCTAGTGAACTGGCTTACTAGCTCTTCCAGTTCTATAGTGTTTGTAGAATTTGGTGCCACCAAGGTCTCTGGAAGAAGTGACTTTAACTCTTGCATATACAATTGCCAATCAGCATATTTTAAATTTCTCATGGGTATTGCATTGGGGTCTAAATTTCAAATTGAATATAACGATGATCGGAAAAGAAGTGCTCTTTAAGAACCCGCAGGCAAACAGACAAGTTGCGGGTAGTTATTCTTTAGTCGAAAGTCAGGTCACTTCTCACGCGAAAGCAAAACGAGCTCCAAGAGACGGGAGGGGGGGGGGGGCAAACAAGCAGGGCAGGAAGAAAAACCAACATCCATTCATTTGTTAAACCATTGGTCGGAGAACTAGCAACCTTACTGTTGGTCAATATATGGAGCTCGCATCGCGATCTCGGAGACCAAGTTAACAGCATTGAAAGGCCTTTTTTGGAAAATTAACATCTTCACGACACAATTTATGTCCAAGACTTCAATTGAGGACAAATCTGCTCCTCTATTCCTACAAATACATTAGTGTCCGAACATTAGGGAATAACTACGAGACATAAATGAAAGCCGTGAAAAGGCAGTATGGTAACGATCATCAGAGACAACCCTTCCAGATGACACTTGAAGCTGCAACCAGAAGAGAAAACCTTACAGAATACTTCGGTGTGATGCAAATGCAGAGGTTCATCAATGTAATGAGGGTAAAAGTTGTTGTTGTCATGCAACGGCAAAAAGATCGCCTATGACTGTACGAATAAATCCACTATATGGGACGAGGGCATAAACGTAAAGTTGAGGAAGAATGCCCCATAATCAGCAGTAAGCAAATATAGCTGGTCCAGAACGAGTATCGGAGAGATGAAATACACGGAAATGATAGAAATATATAACCCCCTGCGGGTTAGGGGCTCAAGAATTTACCCGCGGTAAGGAATGCTTGTCGTAAGAGGCGACTAAAATCCAATAGTTTCCGCGACAGTCGGGTCTTTATACCGGAACGACCCGGATTTTTATCCGGCCAAGGACTGTCACTCCCGCCACATTCCCCAAAAAGAGGGGGGAATAATTTTGCCGTTACAACAACAACATAGAAATATATAGAAAGAAGCTGGTGTCCTGAAGGAGAAGCTGAAAGTTTTGAATGAATCCTTTGGAGAGCAGCAGAGTAAAAATCCGATTAATGCAAGACAATAAGATCAAAAGCATTTTCGGAAGAAGATTAGGTTAGTTTAAAGTGGCAAACAGAGTGGGACTCACATTCATGCTGCTACACTCCTATTGCGTCTCTAGTGTGAAGAACTTTGCTGTTCTTTTCGCGAATTTAAGTAGTTAATCTGGCCCTTTCGGAACTTTATTTAACAATCCAATGATCGAAATCGAAAGGTTTTTGAAAATCATCAGCTCTCATTTAGCGAAAATCGTCTATAATTTGGAACGATATTTCGCTCAGCATGAAATACTTAAAGTAAAATGTATGTATTATAGTCTAAAAGCTTAATAAAAATTAAGTATTTAACGTCTGGTCTTCATTTCTGCAATGGAAGCATTATCTCGATAAGAAGAGCCCAAAATCAAATTGTCTTTGACGTGCCCTTTTGCACCAAATACAAATTGTAGCACATTGACTGTATAAGTTACTAATTTACTCGAAGCATTGAATACCCCTAAACATAGATTTTGACGAGTATTAGCAACGATCGAATTGACCAATTTATGGAATGAGCGAATCAAGAACTAACGAGCGAAATTTAAATCAAAAGCGATGTACAAAAAATAGAAAATGGCGAACTTTGATTTTCATTTTCCGAGTTTCACGTTAATTTTTTGTTGAAATACATTGCAAAATTTAATAGAAAATCGAAGTAATACTGAAATTAAAAAAGTAATCTCGTAAATTTATAAAATTTGTGATTGTGCAGTGTTGAAAATTTTTAATGAAAATTATGTGACATTGCGTGGTGCTTAGGGCAGCAGAGAAAATCAACACAATTGCAACAAGGCAATCAATCAGTCATTCGAAGGTGCACTCCCAATCCTCAAGTGAATTTTGTTATCTGAAAAAATTGCTTTGCTCAATAACAAAGTGAAAATACTTCATGAAGAAGAACCAACACTTAAAAGTTTTCTTCTTGTAATCTTGCAACAGTGTACATTGTAAATTGATGATTTTCAGTGGGTGATCTGTGTCATATAGTGAAAAACAACAAATGCAATTATTGGCTGCCAATAAATTTACCAGTACATACTTCAACTTGACAATCTAATTTCGGAGGGTGCCTAATCGATTGTGTCAACTACATATGTCTATTAAATACATATTTTAAAACAATCTTTAAACAGAACAGCCTAAAATTATAGAAAATATCCGTTTTTTGGGTGATTTCAAATAAAGACAACTGAATGCGACAGATCAAAAGAATGCAAATGTAAGTCCATATGAACCCATAATCGATGCTATTTAGGTTTATTAAATTCCTTTATATCTTTATTCCTATATTTTTATTTTAGCAAAATTTCACTCGCTAAATTGTGTCAAACGTATTAGTTTATAATGTATGAGCGAAAGAAAATGAGAACCTCTGTGAACAAATAGCCAATATACTTATTTCGTTCTTTCGCATAACCTACAACTTAAAGTATATCCGAGGTCGTGGAATTTACCTCCTTTCTGCAGAGATAGATATACATATGTGTAAGAGTAATTCTTCTGTCATCGAATTTGACATTCACTCCACTCCACTGTTGGAGTACCTATAAATGTCAAAAAAAGAATATAGAGATCCTTTTAAAATCGATAGTGTCTATATATGGCAATGCTATATGCCAGTTTAACTAAAATAATCATAAATTATTGTAAACTATAATTGAATTTATTTTGAGTAGTGAAATAAAATCCCATATTCCCAAAGTATACTTATTTCAAAATTATGATAAAATTATTATGAAATGACCGATATCAAATTGATCGACCGTGATGTTTGTACGATAAACACCGGAAGATTAAAAACAAAAAACATATTAATTTGTTAACACTTGTCTAGTATTTAAAAAACTTAATGTCTATAATTTTAAGTTTATAAAGAAACTCAATTTATTGTTATGTTGTTAAACTCAAATTGATGTATATACGTATATATGTATGTATGTATGTATATCCATTTTCTATATATCTATTGACAAATATCAGTGTACTTCTACTAGGCTGCACCGGCTACAAATAATACATGAATGCAGAACTTTATTTAAATTCCATTACATTTTTTGCATTTAGCTCGATAACTTTTTGGTTAAATCGCAATTCTCTATTGACAGTTCACACTTTTGACAGCTTTCGTCGGAAAAAATGACCAAATGATAACCTGAAAGAGATAGTTATAGTATAAAAATAAAAAACAAATCAAAAAGGTATGAAGATGAATGGAGAACTAAATTAACACTGAGAAATATCCGATAGTAGAAAACGTAGAAGAAACATTGGCTAAGAAAGGATGATGAAAATCAAAACGAAGAAAAAAATTTTCAATAGTCTTTAACCGTGTGAAATAGCTGCTGTGCTTTCGTCTATTCGGGTTCTGGAAAAAATATTAAAGAAATTATTTCAAAATTATTAGCAGACAGTGAAAATATATAAGTGCGAGTGAAAGCTTGAGTATATAGTAATTTTATTAAACAAATCAATAAGCCGAAAATTTTTGCTAATTGTCTAGTGATAAAGTGAAAATCTAAAAACGCGAACTCGTAAAATATAAATTGTATAAAAGGCAATGCAAGAAGTGTAAGGAAAAGGGGCAAGCAAAATAAGAAAAAGAAAAATAAAATTATAGTAGGAAGAGGTGCGACAATGAAATCGGAGGAAATGTATGTGCATGCGAAAAAGAATTGAAGAAACAAAGAAAAAAATATTGCAAAATTAAAACATCGATCCGTGTAGAGTAGTTAAAATTTCTCTTTCGCATTTTTGCAACTTTATCTTCGTACATACGTACATATACGCACTATCATGTGTATATAGGGGCTTACCAATAGAAATGTGTAAGTATTACACTAAATAGTCGACATTTCCTTTAAGATTGAATATATAAATGAAAAATGTTTTTATATTTAACAAAAAATATTAAAATCATCCTAATGGCATTGATGAAAATATTGTTGAAAGTGTCTGACTTAGTAAGACGGCGGTACATCGGCGCATGTGTTGATAAAGAGGATGTTCTATTTACTGCCTGCGACTATATTGAATAATATAAGGATATTATATTTCTTCTTTTTGCACCCAGTCGTTGATTTAATGGCGAGTTAAAGTACAAGCAACATTTTACCTACAGCCAATTAAGTACAATTCAATGATCTAACAAATTTACATGTGTGGATGAGAATAGTATTCCTTACAATAAATATACCCTTATTCATACAAGCAGTAATCCTTTGCCCACCGGCTCTGCTTCTCATATACACAAAAACAGGAAAACAATCAGTAAAAAAAAGCCTTCACAGGAATAACACATTTAAAGTCAGCGTTGCCAGAAGTTTATATGTTAGGTAGTTCAACTCTAATTGTAATGCTAATTAGGATAATAATTTAAATAGAGTTAATTATTCGAAAAATGGATTTCTCTCCGATCAGGAAAATAATCGTATTTTTAAATTCAATAGAATATTTATTTTATTCTTGTCATCGTAATTCGCACTCCAAATACATGCCGAACTACTTAATAACGTCATACAAATTTTTAAGGGTGAACTACAATAAAAGTGGGTAATTCGTTCTCAATTGCCATGCGAATTGCGACTGTAGCTGACAAATCAAAACAGAATAAATGAGGACAAATAATGTATTTCAGGATGCAAAAAATGGTATTATCTGAATCAGAATCAAATTAGAGACGACTTTTGCGCTTAGTGCCGACGGTAAAGTTAGAACGAAACAATGGTTTTATTAAAGCCGGGTGAATATAATCAAATTTCAATTTATATGAAATAATATATAGCGAAATTGTGTTTTTTTGAAGAACGTAAAGTTTGGGTTAGGTAAAGTCATTTAATAAAGGTTTAATTATTATAGAACCGATAAATAATATAGATCGAAAATATGATATGAACTGTATGTTGTTGTTGTTGTTATAACCCCAAAATTATTCCCCAAAGTACTTTTTGGGGAATGTTGCGGGAGTGACAGTCCTTTTCCGGATAAAAATCCGGGTCGTTCCGGTATAAAGACCCGACTGTCGCGAGAACTATTGGATTTTAGTCGCCTCTTACGACAGGCATGTCTTAACGCGGGTAAATTCTTGAGCCCCTAACCCGCAGCGGGATATGAACTGTATCACAAGCTTTGCTTTATGTCTCGAAGAGAACCACACTTCAGAGCGGGTTTTCACGCTTCAATTATCATGCGTTAAAGCTTGTTATCTTATGCACATACGAAATGGGATATACCCTTATTATTTCAACAAGTTTAATTAATTATCCAAATAAATGTTTATTTTATATGTATCAAATAAGTACCAAGTTTTGGAAAAGGGACTATGAATAAATATTTATCTTTGCTTAAAGTAGGTATGACATTAAAACGGTATACACAAAAATATAATACACTTTAGCGCTTTTCACCTTAAATTTTGCTCAGTTAACTTACTTCTAGAATATACATATGTATGTCCCTAATTATTATCGTAAGCGTATTAGCATTTTGTGGAAGTAAAACTTCAGCTAATTACAAAATGGCAACTCTGTTCGCTCTGCTGTTGATTCCGCGTCGAGAGAATGATAATATAGTAATTGTATTTGAAGCCGATTATAACGAAAGTGCACGAGTGAAACGAATGTAAAAAATACATGCAGATTTATGGATCAGGTAAAATTGGAGAATACATATGCAGTAACCAAATTTGTATATATATGTATTAACAAATAAAGTCGCAATGAACAATATAGAAATAAAATGTTTTATAGCGTATTTGTTAAAATAAGATGTTTCTCAAAATACTTGCGTACATACATACATATGTAGGTGCATAGGTGGACCATAAATTTATGAATATGTATGTATGTATGTATGTATGTATTTGTTATGTGTTATGAATAGCTCTTAAAAAAAGAATTACGTTAGTAATGATAACGTCATCAAAGTTTCTCTTCGCATATTATGCTCTCACCATCTATATATTCGTTTTATTATCATTATTGTCTCGATATGCAAAAGTCTTATTTATTGAGCAGTGTGAAAACTCGTGTTGAGAAAAACAAAAGCAACAATTCCAGTATGTGCTAAATTTTCGTTAATTGTTTTTTTTTTCATATATATATATATATATATCATTCATATTAAAGAAGATGCATGAATTACAAACTAAATGTTAAATATTTGTACATTACATTTGTTCATACTAACATACATAGATATTCCTATACTATATCGGTACCTGCGCTAATAAATGTGTAAAGCCGCACGCGACAAATTGCAGGAATATGCAAATGTCTACATACATACATACATACATACATATGCACATGGATATGTTATTGTCTCGTAGATATGTATGAAGAGTGTAAGAAAATAGTTAAAGTTAAAAAAATTTAATTTTTTGTTTTGCTTTACAAATTTGATAATAGAAGAAATAACGCATTTAGCACTTTTTCGTACAAAAAAATTATATGGGAGTTAAGGAAGTCAACGAGTGGAAGTCGCCTTAGTTTTGAATTCAGTGTCCTCTCGGTAAAAATGAGGATTAGTGTAAAAATTACTTATTAAGACTAGTCTAGTTTCTTAGGCTCTGTCTGGTGAGTGAAGTGATAATTATGTTCAAGGTCAGCTGCCGCAGATAGAGCGACCTTTTTAAAACAAAAAGTTACGCAGTCTCATGAACCGACATCTATGTTGAAGATACATCGGTAGATACATTACATAGGGCATGACCAAAGATTAACTATATTTTCTTCAAATTCGAGTTTAATTTTCACTTCTGTAAACTAATTTGTAGTTCTCTAGTGACCGTACAATTTTTTTTAATATAATTTAATTGAAATATCTAAAAATAAAATAACATGTGCATTTATTTAGATATACATACATACATACATACATATGTATATCAATAAAAAATAAACCACTTCGGCAGTAAAACATGGCATATCCGTCCGGTGCAACACAGAGCTATTTTAAAAACAAATTTGAATTGTTTGTGACGATAGTTTTTGCCACTAACACTCGTATATTAAAAAATTTAATTTAAACAAGGAACAAGAGAAGTCCCATTAGCAATTGAACATTATCAATGAAACTGAGAAAACTAAAGTTTATTGCCCTTACAAATGATATTTTGAGATAGTTTTTTTTTCATAATGCAGTATTATATTTTAATGAAAAATAGTGCAAATTCGGTACTTACATATATTTATATAACAATGATATGAAGAAAATGTGTTTGGTCGCGGCTCCCACGTCACTTTTGACAGTCATAAATTCAAGGTCGTAGATAACTTCGTCTATCTTGGAACCAGTATTAACACCAACAACAGTGTGAGCCTGGAAATCCAACGCAGAATCACTCTCGCCAACAAATGCTTCTTTGGACTGAGCAGGCAATTGAATAGTAAAGTCCTCTCTCGCGGAACGAAAACTAAACTCTACAAGTCACTCATCATACTCGTCCTACTATATGGCGCAGAAGCGTGAACGATATCAATATCTGATGAGTCGGCTCTATAAGTCTTCGAGAGAAAAGTTTTGCGAATGATTTATTTATTATTGACATAGTTCAACGAATGAAGAGACTGCGCCTACACTGGCTAGGTCATGTCATCCTAATGTATGAAAGTACTCCAGCTTTGAAAGTATTCAATGCAGTACCCCCTGCTGGTAGCAGAGAAAGAGGAAGTCCTCCACTCCGTTGGATGGATCGGGTGGAGAGCGAACTGGTTTCACTTGGTATTTCAATTGGCGCCAAGCAGCAAAAAGAAAAGATAAATGGCGCGCTAATATTGACTCGGCTATAATCGTTGAAGCGGTGCCATTGCCAATGAAGAAGAAAAAATATATATTCCCTTGCCAATAGCAGGACACTTTATTAAAAAGGTTTTTAGTCGACAAAAATGAGAGTTATCAATCCGAGGTGTATATTTTTCTTTATATTATGACCGCGCAGACTTTTGAAAAAAAGTCCGATTTTGGTAATTGTTATTTTACTCGAATAGTGTAGCCTGAAGTGGGTTTCCTAGAAAGCTGATTTGGAAAGGCAGTGTAACTGAGTAGCAAAACATAAGCTTTTCATTGAGTTTGTCAAAATTTTTTCTTTTAATACTTCTATGATTTTAAATACTTGTTTAAAAAATTTTCATAATCTGCAGCTATACTGTAATAACGAAGATCATGCCACTATTCATCGATCTGTTATACGCTTTCCGAGAAAGAGTAATTTATATTTTAATTTAAGAAAAAAGCTGGAAATGAAGATAAATCTTTAGTTTATCTAGGCCCTCATTCGCTAAAATTCAACCAAATCCCACCCTGATTTTTATTTAAAAGTTCCTACGCATTTCCTAAAAAGATTTTCGAGAATCGTGTTTATCAAAGCAAAAAGCTACATATGAACCAAATTCAAGTACATAAATCGAGATATAAATACAAAATAGACGGTTTAAACGTTACCCGAATTTTATATATTTTTTTAATAATGTTAATTAATACATATGTAATATATATACATATGCATATGTAATGAAAATTTTATCAACTTTTCGCCGCTGCTCAACAAAACCATCGATTTTCGTTTATTAGAGCTATTACTGTTTTATGAATTGTATGTATGTACATATGGATGTTAGGAATATTAGGTGTTGTTAATCATACTATAATTATTCATTTCCAGTAAATTTTGTATGTACAGTTGTTTGGTTCCACGAAATTTATTTGTTGCAAGAGAAACCAAATTTTAGCATCGAGAACTTTTGTCTCAGTTTCCTGAAGACTAATTTTCAGTGCATTCGCTAAGTGACACACGATATTCATTAAAAATAATAGCTTATTTTCAGAAACATGCATATTTATTAAATTACGTGTAATTTTTCCTTTGAAAACACAGGTTTGTCTGTATCTCTATGAATTTAACTGTTTTGAGAACTGGTAAAATACTCAAAAACGCAAAATTTTATTCAAAGAAAGTCATTCTTCTCTAAAAAAATAAGGAAGGTCTTGTATGAGATAAATGACAATATACAAACTTATAAAAATGATTTAACATTTATGCTCTCAGAACTTCGAATGAATCTGATGTATTTAAATGGTTGTATGCCAGGCGGCCGCAATAAATAGTCCAGTGGGTAGCTTTGCGTAGTGTCATTGGGAGAGCCATGGCTCGAGTTATGGTTCGACTAATATTAAAAAATTTTAGAAATTTATTTTAAATAAGTGATTAATTTAAATTTTCTAATCGTGCCCCATATATACTTTCGGCATGAAATAAAAGCAACTCATAAGCATCCGTCGGCCGTTCGGAGGCGTCTTAGTGTAAACTGTGGATCCCTCCATTTGTTGGAAAAACATCAAGACGCAAAACCACAGATTGGAGGAGGAGCTTGGCCGGAAATCGCTTTGATCATTAGTCAGGGGTTTAACGCCTTTTAAGCTCCTTTTTATGTCTAAACATAAGACAAAGAGAACTTCGGCCGAGAAATTTAAATCAAAGCAGAGTGTTGGGAACTGATATTTCGTCACATATTTCTTATTACAAACTTATTTTATACTCATACATGCATATATATATATATATATATATAAATACTTATATAATACTAATTGCAATATTTAATTTTTATTTTCAGTTTACAACATTAAAACTGAAGATTAAGTGGTGAGTGAGCCAATAACCAAAAGTGACGTAAGAATTTGGGCGCGTTCTGAATTGCACGCACTGACAAAACCAATTTAAATCAAACAAATCTTGTAGAGATCAAACTTCAAGCAATAAAAACCTCGAAATAATTAGAAAAAATACAAACACCAAGCTTAAAACAACAACGCAAACCAAAATAAAAATTTCAAAATAAAATCGTTATGTTTCAACCACTTACAATTAAAATAAAGCTATAGCTATTATAATTAAGAAGCAGATGAATCAAGTCATAGTAAGTCGAATATAGGAAAAGTAATCGGTATTCATAAAGTTTTTTTTGTGCGATCATCTCTCTTTCTTGTGCGACTTCGCTCTGGAACTTGCGCTTGGTTCAATTAATATAAAAATAATATATTTAAGTGGATATTTAAACACATTCGAAAAACGCCTAGATGTTAAGTGGATAAATATCAAATTCACTTAATGTAAAAAAACATAAAGTGTAAATTGCATAGTCAACATACTGAGATAAATCGTAATATTCTCAATACCAAACGGTTATTTAAATAATTTGACAAAAAAAAACTTAAATAAAATTTGTATGATTGTAATAAAACGAAATTAACGTAGGCATTGCAAAAAAAGAAAAATGAGTAGCTAACTCTAAGGAGAGTTTGGATCTTAAGACAACATCACAAACAACTATTAAAATTTTAATTATTCCATTATTTTAATTTAAAAAACCAAATCACCGCGCACATAGCGCATTAAAATATTCTAAAAATGTTAACTATATAATTAAAATATATATATATATATATATATATAAATATAGGATCACCATCGTAGATACAAACAAAAAAAAACAAGAAAATTCAACTAACGATGTCATAACCTGCTAAACGCGAATTCGGTGAACGGTTTAGTAAACCCAATGAAATGGATATGAAAAAGATTCCAAAATCACGGTAAGTTAATTCATTAATTATTATTTATTTATTTACATATATACTAAGAATCACGAAACTATTATATTCTATTAATATTTATCATTTGCTATTGAATCCTCCATATCAACAATGTCAAAACGAAAGGCGTTAACACCTGTCGTTAAACTTATCGCTAATAAATTATACTTCTTTTGGTTTATAAAGGGTCATCCATTTCGAGGTTCGATTGAATGAATGAACATTCCTTGGCATTTTATTTTTGGAGTTTATCTCTTTCAAATGTTGGTCGCGAATACGTCTACAGTGGTCCATCCATTGAAACCAATTATCGATGGCTCATTGGAATATTTCGCCTGGTAACTGGCGAATGAAACGCATGATGTTGTGCTCCAAGGCCTGAATTTAAGCGGGATTGTCCGCATAGACTTAAGACTTTACATATCCCCACAGGAAAAAGTCTAACGGTGTGATATCACACGATCTTGGTATCCAATTGACCGGTTGAAAATGTGAAATTACCTGCTCACCGAAGTGTTCTCTCACTAAATCCATTGATTGATGCGATGGGAAGTGTGGTTGTCTTGTTGAAACCAAATGTCGTCGAGATCACGAGAATGTCAGGCATCAAATAGTCGCCATTCACGGTTACATTCTCACCGGCATAGATTTTTAAGAAATATGGACCGATATATCACCGGTTCAGGTTGCTCCTTATCCCGGCAATTTTGCTTGTTTACAAGCCCATTGACAATGGGTCCTATCGCTGAACAAAATTTGGCTCAAAAACGTCGGTTGTTCTTGGAATTTTTCAAGAGCGCGTAGAGCGAAGCCATATCGGTCGAGTAGGTCGAGCGGCTTCAGTTCTTGCACAGCTGTATTTTGTACGCTTTCAATTTAAGATCTCTTTCAATTAAAGTGCGAAAAGACGTTCCATACGTCAGTCTGAGTTGCTGCGAATGGCGCCGAATTGTGCTGGACGGGCTGTACACTCTCAGCTACGGCCGTTATAGTTTCTTCACTGCGTGCTGGACGTTGTCTATTTGGTCGAATGTTATCCAATAATTAATGCTAGGTCTCAAGATGTGATTATATTGCGAATAGTACGCTCACAGGCCGGTTATGTAGATCATAAGTTGAGCGAAGCTCGCTTAATACACATTCTTTATAGTCAAATTTCGTAATAAAGTTGAGCGATTTGTAAACGTTGTTCAGTTATTAATAAAACTTTGTTAGTGAGATATACTACTCCTTTACCCGCACCGTCCCTTGAACTCTTTCATAACCGGGGTAAAACTTTTTTCCATCCCATCATTCCGGGTAACCCTCCAAATACGCAAAGAGACAAGACATTGGGATATATAAGGTTTCAAGTTAATCCAAAGTCAATGTTTGGAAGAAACCGATTTAAAAAATTCGTAGCTTTTCATCCGTAAAATCGAATCCAATTTTTCGACTATAACAATTTTAACGAATATATACTGAGTTTAAAATTAATACGATTATTTTTTTTTTATCAATTATACACGAATCAAGTTTTTGGAACAAATTGTTTCTCTGTTAAGGCACGAAAAACTGAGATTTTTTAAAGCGATGTCCTAACTTTAATGCGTTGCTGAGGAGCTTATCCCTCGTTTTTGTAGATTGGGTAGAGCAAACTTAGGTTCCAATCGTCGGACATGCTTTTACGCGATTATATTTTGGAAAGAAGTTTCAAAGTACATGCGTTTTGTTGTTTTTCATAGGGAAAATTTGCTTTTCATAGGCGGGCAAAGAAAAATTTTACCATCGTCATGAATTGAGGAATCGGGTTCGCTATCTTCTGGTGTTGCACTGCCACTTCCATTTAGCAGGCTGGAGAAGTGTTCATTCCATAATTCAGTATACCTTGGGCTTCAGTTACTAGATCACCGCTTTGTGTACTAGAATAGCTTGTTCTGGTCTTGAAACTGTCTGTAAGTCGCCGTATGTTTTCGAAGAATTTTCGAGCATTACCCTCATCGGCCAGCTTCTAAAGCGCTTCATACCCACGCATCTTGCTCTCTTTCTTTTTTTGTCTGCACATGCGTCTTGCATCTTTAATTCTCTGTATCTATTTCAGCCCGCAATATCTAAGGTAGAGAGCCTGTTTTCTCACCACTGCGGCATAGCAATTCCCATCGTACCAGCTGTTTTTTCGGCATAATAGTTTTGTTTGCAGCTGTACGTAGGGAGCTTGAAACGTTAACACACAGTCCCCATATACCAAGTTACTGATGATTGCACTCTGATAACAAGTTTTCGAAGTCTAACTTTAATTGTGTTTGTTAGTGTACGTTCTTTACTGCACAGAGGCGAGTGCGTATTTTTGATGCTACTAAATAGTGAATAGCGAGCCGATATAGGGCCCTCTAAGCCTATAATATTGAATCTAGTACTACAGACAACCATATTTAGGCCTCGACCCCCGGTGAAGTCTATCAGCCATTTGGGGATGTTTCTTTTATTCCGACAGTTGTGCCGTAGATACCTTCTTTGCCCACCCTGCCCTGGCGTTAAAGTCGCCAAGCACGATTTTCACATCGTTCATGAGTACGCTCTAGGCGTATATAAAAAACCCCCTTGGTCGCATTCGTACGTTTGAAGATCGAAATTGCAAAAAAGCGACTAATATGGCAAAGACGACGTGCCGTGTCACAAGTCAATCAAAACAATGGAAGAATCATCTTTTTCGTCGAAATTGACATCCAGTTACTACTGGTCTCTTCGCAGACCTCAGAAAATGCTCACTGCTAAGAAATTTTGTCGCTAAAGCTGACACCCATTTTAAGGCAAAATATAAATCGTTCTGAAAAAAGAAGTATTGAAATTTTAGTGCGGCGCTGGAATAATTGTATGGCTTTGATGCGTTTTCCTTGTTAGTCTCGGGTCTTTTCAGCTCATTTGTTATTTATTATCCTGCACATTGAATAGAAAATAAAATTTTACCTACGCAAAATACATGAAATTTGATCAGCCCAAAACTATTGGCACGAGGAGCAGGAGGAGTACATCAATATTTGCTAAATGATTGCATGAAATTTTTTGATTTTATTTTTCAACTTGGCTTCGGTCATGCCATCAACACTTGATTGTGAGAGCAGCGTATTGATTACTACTCAGAAATACAAAGGTATTTGCACAAACATTCTTTTGTTTGTAATAAGAAGTTCGGCTTCTGACAGTGGTATCAGTTGAACTTTATTACATTCGTGGCTGTATTCATGCCAGTTGGACAAACACCTGAGCGCAGTCTTTACGAAAATAATTTGCAAACGATTTACCTTGTTGCTGTAGTAGGATTCGTTATATCTGACTGTATTGTATGTATGTATGTTGTATTTATCAGCATGAAAAATCAAGATATGTAGACATGCACAATAACATATGTATATTAATCTCCGTGTAATTGCGAATTGCTCTATTATTTGGTAAATAAATTTTTGAAAAATCATAAAACTCCTTAGCTATGTGACCGTTTTTATTAGTAGCTTTACTTTCGTTCGGCCATCTACAAAGAGAAAATAGAGAAATTCCATAATAAACATGACTAAAACAATCGACCACAACTAAAAACTGATCGTGTTATAACTAAGCGATCTCTAAAGTTTCTGGCGTCAGTCTTTTATCTTATCTCAAACGTTTATTTCTTCGAATTTGGGCCGAAATCCTCCTTCAATTTATGGTATGCCTTTGATGTTTTTCCAAAAAAGGAAGAACTTACACATTTTGGCCCTGCTCTATTCGAAAAAAAACTTTAAAGGTTTGATTTACTGGAAATTTAGTGCATACAAAGCTTTCTGGTTAGATTAGTAGGAGGATTACTTTTCACTCGGGGATGGGAACCCGAAACCCACTTATTCCTATCTAAAAAAAAATCCTATTTAAGGTTCTAATGCTTTAATTTTTTGATATTTGACAAGTAAAAACTGCGTCAGTAATAAAAATGGAACGATGCATGCTGCAAAACTAAAATTTTTCAGTCGTTGTGAAACACCTTGTCGGACTGCAATACATAAATTGGTGGAAAAACTGGAGTTGTTGGGCAAGTTAGTGGTATGAAGAATAAAACATGTGCACGTGTTGTAGAAAACCATTCCCCTTCGTTCTTTGGGATTAGACATAACACAAATGTCAATACAATGTATTTTGCATAAAAACTTGGGTCGTAAGACTTATGAAGTTCAGATAAAACAACAACGTCTCGTTTTTGCGGATTGGATGATTGAAAATTACCTGAAATTTCATGGAAAAATCATATAGACTGTTGATAGCCATTTCCACCACGACATTTACGTCAATAAGCAAAACTGTCGCCTCTTGGGCTGGGAAAACCCAAGACCCAGCCACTTCATCCTCAACGTGTAATAGATTAGTGTGGTTTATGAACCGGTGTGGTCATTATCTGGACAAAATTCATTTTCAACAAGACGGCGCTACAGGCCATCCAAGCAACGAAACCATCGATCTTTAAAGGAAAAATTTCCGGACCGTGTTATTTCTTGAAAAGGTGATCGCAATTGGCCACGGGCCAACATCGGTACAAAACATCCGATCATTTACGAGTATCTCGAAAAATTCCATTTTTCTCTGAGTATCAATATAACTTTTGGAAAACCTTATAACGGGTGTGTACCGCTTGTGACTATTTAATTGTATTTTTTCTTTTGACTGTCACTTTTAACCCTCATTGTAACCAGGCCCTTCGGGGAGTATCGTGGTGGCTGTGCTTTAAACCCATATGCAGGAAGAGTTGGTGTGGAGTCGAGTTGGCCAACTCGGTGTGGAGTAACATTGCTGCCGGTTGTCGGACCCATAGCACGGCAGAGGCTTTAGATGGGCCTAAAGCCTAACCAAGGTGGGCAGCGTGGCCATATCACATAGCCGTTCGGAACCATAGTGTTAGTAGTACCATTAGTAATACTCTTACTATGGGGTGCTGATCAACACTGTTGGTCCGTTATGTTTTTGAAGACCGTGAGGTTAGGCCGTCGATGGCAGGT